CTGATGGATTGTTCATTGATGGGCATTCCTTACAAATAGACGAATCCAGCATGACAGGAGAGAGCGATCATGTGGAAATCAATCACAAGAAAAATCCATTCTTGGTCTCTGGCACCAAGGTTGCTGATGGCTACGGTCAAATGCTTGTTACTTCAGTTGGCATGAACACGACATGGGGAGAAATGATGAGCCACATCAATCGTGACACAGATGAACAAACACCTTTACAAGCTAGGCTCAATAAGCTAACCTCATCGATAGGTAAGGTTGGATTGACTGTGGCTTTTCTTGTTCTTGTAGTTTTGTTGGTTCGCTACTTCACTGGGAATACACAGGATGAGAGTGGGAATAAGGAATTCAGTGGTAGCAAGACCAAGGCTGATGATATAGTGAATGCGGTGGTGGAGATTGTAGCTGCAGCAGTGACAATAATTGTGGTTGCAATTCCTGAAGGATTACCATTGGCAGTAACGCTCACTCTTGCTTATTCAATGAAAAGAATGATGAAAGATCAAGCAATGGTGAGGAAGCTTTCCGCTTGTGAGACTATGGGCTCTGCCACCACAATTTGTACAGACAAAACAGGCACTCTTACAATGAACCTGATGAAGGTGACGAAGTTTTGGCTGGGTAAAGAATCAATGGAACAGAGCAGTCCTATTTCTCCATATGTTCTTGAATTGATACAACAAGGGGTTGCTCTAAATACAACTGGTAGCGCTTACAGAGAAAGTCCAGAATCTAAGTTTGAGTTCTCAGGTAGCCCCACTGAAAAAGCAATTCTTTCTTGGGCTATCCATGAACTGAACACGGATATGGAGCAGATGAAGCATAGTTTTACGATTCTCTATGTCGAAGCCTTCAATTCACAGAAGAAAAGGAGCGGTGTTTTGTCCAGGAAAAAAGTGGACAACACAATCCACGTCCACTGGAAAGGAGCAGCGGAGATGATCCTAGCAATGTGCTCGAGTTACTATGATGCTTCTGGATTAATGAAAGACATGAATGTCGGAGAAAGGAATACATTCAAGCAAATTATCCAAGTTATGGCAGCTAATAGCCTTCGTTGCATTGCATTTGCGCACAAACAATTATCGGAGGAGCAATATGAAGATGGAAAGGAAGAGAAAAGGCTCCAAGAAGACAGTTTCACACTATTAGGACTTGTGGGTATCAAGGATCCAATTAGACCCGGAGTGAAGAAAGCTGTTGATGATTGTCAACATGCTGGAGTTAACATCAAAATGATCACTGGTGATAATGTTTTCACTGCAAGAGCGATGGCAATTGAGTGTGGAATACTCAAATATGGTGCAGAGAATATCAATGGAGCTGTGGTAGAAGGAGAAGAGTTCCGAAATTATACACTCGAGCAAAGAATGGAGAAGGTCGATAAAATCTGTGTGATGGCAAGGTCTTCTCCATTTGATAAACTTCTCATGGTACAGTGCCTGAAACAAAAAGGTCATGTGGTGGCAGTAACTGGTGATGGCACAAATGATGCACCAGCATTGAAGGAAGCTGATATTGGACTATCTATGGGAATTCAAGGCACTGAAGTGGCTAAAGAAAGCTCAGATATTGTCATTTTGGATGATAATTTCGCTTCGGTAGCCACTGTTTTGAGGTGGGGTAGATGTGTCTACAGCAACATACAGAAATTCATTCAGTTCCAGCTCACAGTAAATGTTGCCGCTCTTGTTATCAACTTTGTAGCAGCAGTTTCAGCAGGTGAAGTACCACTAACAGCAGTCCAGTTGTTGTGGGTGAATCTGATTATGGACACATTGGGTGCTCTGGCTCTAGCTACTGAGCAGCCTACCCAGGAGCTCATGAAAAAAACCCCAGTGGGTAGGACTGAGCCACTTATCACCAACATCATGTGGAGAAACCTAATATCTCAAGCTTTGTATCAGATAGCTATCCTCTTGACACTCCAGTTCAAGGGAGAGCCCATCTTCGGGTTGACTGAAAGGGTAAACGATACTTTGATCTTCAACATTTTTGTACTATGCCAAGTGTTCAACGAATTCAATGCAAGGAAGCTGGAAGAGAAGAATGTTTTCAAAGGGATACACAAGAACAAGTTGTTTCTAGGAATCATTGCTATAACCATTCTCCTGCAGGTGCTGATGGTGGAATTTTTGAAGAAATTTGCAGACACAGAGAGGTTGAACTGGGGCCAATGGGGTGCCTGTATCGGAATCGCAGCACTATCTTGGCCAATCGGTTGGGTTGTCAAGTGCATACCTGTTCCAGAGAAACCAATTTTCAGCTATCTCACTTGGAAGAAATAAACCGTCGAACTCATATGATTCTTTTATTTTTTTCATATATTTTCCACCCTTGTTAGGGTTTAGAAAGATGCAGATTATTAATTACTTATTGTCTATATTTTAGAACCTCATTAGAAGCTATATGGTTTCCAATTAGATTCGCATTTTGGTGAATACTGAATATATTTGATATATTGCATCAGAAATGATGCTCTTAACATTAGTAAAAGCGCATTTGTTACGTGTTTCTTGCTTTCTTATGCTAGCTACGAGTGAAACTGCCCAACATGGTTGATCTTACCGAGCAGGGGATGTTAATCGGTATTTGTTAAAGATAGTCCCCAGATAGTCAGCATACCAAGCAGGGGACTGTTCGACCATATAACATCCGTTATGCTGTTGTTATTCTGTAAGAGTCATTTTGATAATTGGATTTGTTATTTAGAATAAGGATATATTTCTGATCAAAAGTAGCGTAATCAATTAAAACAAAATATGCATATGGGCGTAATAATTTGCTCTTCTTTTCAGTTGACTTCAATTTCTTCATCATCATCATCATCTGTGAATGTATGATCTTCAAGTTCAAGAACAGAAACAGCAGCTTGCAAATTCTTTTTCCAGAAATTTGTTTTGTATGTGAAGTCTCTATTCTGTTTCTTCTAGTATTGAGCTAGATTGATTTTGGTGAGCTTACCAATTCGTCATCATTTTTCTTCAGTTTTCTTGGGTGTCCTGTACAGAAGTTTGACGTAAATATTATATGTTCACATGGTAATATTTTAGGGATCTAATTTCAAGTAGCAGTTTTTTGTCATTTTTCTTATGTTTTCCCCTCTGCATGTTTCCTACACAGAAGTTAGATATTAGTTGGTATTACAAACTCCTATAGTTTAATTATAAAATATGTTGGGATGTTTGTCAGGTACCTTGATGTAATTGAGGTCTAGTACTTCAGGACATACGGTAAAAAACAGTTCCAGAAGCGTAAACTTTCCTCAGTAATTTTGTAGCTCGAGAGTCAAGACATTGGCATCCCTCGTTTGGGATTCTTTCAATTCATGTGTGCTGTGGCTACTGGTACCCAAAAAATTAAACAAACACACCATGTCTTTTATAGAATCACAACCACAGTATGATACACTGCGCCCAACACACATGCCAGTGTGCCAATGCTAGATGCCACAGCAGGCATCTAATTGCAAATTGGGGCAAATTTTTTGTCCCTGCTCCAGTGCCTCGTGATTTTATTAGATATCTGGACAGAGAATCTATACAAATGCTGGAGCACATGGAGATGAATAAGTTTTACAGTATCTCCCAACCAGATGGCATAACAGTATATGGTACAACAAATCCTTAACTCCATTTAAGCTGGGACAGGTTCTGGGACTTTGCCATTGCCTGCCAGTGTCAAACTGTCATAGTATTCAACCAACACTTTCCAGCCACCAGGGCACATGAATCCATCGGGAGGGTTCTCTTTGTTCTTTGCAAGTGTTCGCATCTGCAAGATACATGCAAGCGCTGTGATATGCAGCCAAAAGATCAACATAATTATATATAAATGAAAAATATGAAGTTTCTGTCCCACTCGGTCCAAAACTTCTTCCTCACATTTTGTTCCTCCGCTTGTTTCTAATATCTTTTAGACAATCACAGAATTGAAAATTAAGTAGGCTACATACCTTTGTGCCAGATATAAAGAGGAAGTCTCCTTGCCTCGAGGGATCAAAGAATGCCATTTTACCCTGAGTCTTATCATATGCAGCAACCTGCATCCAATTACAATCACCATGAGTTTTTCAGATTAAGGTTACAAGAGCAATATCAAAAGACTTGATGATAAGAAGATACATACCCTGAAAGGAAGAATGTTTAAACGCTCCAGTCCTGGGGCCATACCCAACACCTTCTTCCCATGATCAGCATCATATAAATCTCTCTTCTCAACTGGATGGCTCATTCCAGCTGGATCCCTGCCAACAATGTAAAAGTTAGCTCCTGCATTAATCCGAGCTTTTGCATGCCACTGCACCTCAGTTGGACCAGCATATTGCATGGGAGATGGGAATATTGAAACCACAGTTGTTTCTGGATCAAGGACACCATCCTTAAGCACCTGAGAATGTATCATCATCATCAAACAAAATCAGTAAAATAAATCAACAACTGAATCCATGTAGAGAAAAGAAAATGGCAGGGAGGAGAGTTTAATTGCGCATACCTCCTCATGTTGCTTCATTCTCCAGCTGAGTGGAACATCATCTGCTTTTGTGTAGCCTCCTAGTGGATGAAGCAAAAGGATGGGATTCTTATAGCCCATCTCAAGAAGCCGTCTGCGAGTATCTGTCATGAGTAAAGCATGTCCATTGTGCACGGGATTCCTGAGCTGGAATGCAAAGACAGCATCTGCATTACGCCTAGTGAATTCTTCACGGAGTTCTGCAGGTGACAACCGAAAATGATCAAGGCCATCATGATACTTGATTGGTTCTAAAACTTCCAAGTCCCCTCCAATCAGCCAGTTCCCAGACTTAGCTATGGTTTCTTCAGCATAAGGTAAACCAGGAGCACTAGTTCCCCACGTTCTGGCAATCCGTTCTTCTTTGGGGTGCTTATAAATCTCTATACTGAAACAAACAAACAGATAAATAAATCAGGATGTAAGTTAATCCATTAGTAGTTTCTTCATCATTGATAAAAATTGGATAGCATAAAATACACAATCTACGACTTGCAGAACAATCATCTAACTTGTATGCCTTTAGCAATTATGAACAATAGTGGACATATGTTACATTTCTGTTTCTGGTAGACTGGTCCTAGCATGTTCGGTAAAAGAAGGACTATCATTAATGCATAAAGTGCACAATAAATCACATTAAAACTAGACTAAACCAAGAGCCAGGACATTTTTGTTCATTCAATTATTCTTTTAGACATCATTGTGAAGTAACAAGGCATGGAAAATTTTCAGTTAGGGTTAAACACAGACCTTTGCAACAGTTGTGAAGGAATCATGCATCCTCAGTAAAGTAACCACCAGATGAGATAGAATACAACAAGCGGAAATAGTTTGTACATTTGCGATTTGCAGTGGTGGATCATAGAGGTACACTTGAAACAGTAAGTTCTTAGGAAACAGTTCAAACAAGAAACAACGATTAACATTTGTTGAACTTCAATTTTAAAATGAACGAAATGAAAAATTGGAAAAGAAAAGAGGGGGGGTAGAAGAAATCCAAGTCTGCTTTCTACAAGTCCAGCATCTAACCTGTGGCTTACAGTGAACCAAATATTTTCTTGCTGGTCTTGCCATGCACTAAAACGTTTTAAAATGGCAAACACAGGTGTTCATAACTTAGACAAGGACTCGTTGAGTAAAAGTAACAAAACTAAATGTGGCAATGGCAAGTGAGAGTCGTCGCAATCTAATTAAACAGGCCTTTAATCATGTCATTTCAAAGTTGTATGATCCTTATCACTATGACAATTAAAACAGAGGGTTTGGGCATTTATGTCATCATTGGACAAAGACCAGCTTCACTGCATACATCCATCCATGCGAACGAGCTAACAACAAAAATTTAAACAACTAAGGAAAGGTTAGCTTGAAAGGTGTTTGGATAGACGACACAGAATTTCTAATTTCTAATATGGTCATAATATTGTATAACTACTTGTAAATGTAATCAATTCAGGCCTTTGAAAAATATTTTAGAATGCAAACAAGACACCAAAAAAGCAAGGGTAGATCATGCACTGCAGAGCAGAATAGGAAAGTCTTCTTTATTGCAAAATGGGGAATCAAAATTTACAGTATTGATAGCTTGAAATGGCAAAGGAAACAATTTAATTTGCTGATATATGAAATCAATAACCAAATCAAGAATATAGAATATGATTTATATCAGACCATATAACAGAAGGACTAGAGTCAAATTAACAAAGAAACACCAGATTAGGGATAGCATCTTAACCTCCAAGAATAACCGAGGTCATGTTATTTTATACCAGGAAATCAAATTCAATTAATCTAAAAACCATAAGCTGAAAAAATTAAAATTCCAATCCCTACATCTACACTCTGATTAAATCTTAAACACATCTAGTAAAATCAATACTATATCTTAAAAATAAAAGGAAAGCACAGTCCATCACTGAAAATAGAACGGAACTTAGTAAAATAAAATTTTCATAAAACTATTATAAGTTAGACCATTCAAATCAAAACTTTAGGTATTCATATTCATTATCACTTTCAAACACGAATATAGAATTGTGCTCTTCATATTCGTTTTCCATCAATGCAGCTGAAACATGCAAATAGCATAAAATCCAACAAAAGAAAAGTTATTCTTACTCGTTGAAAATGGCAATGGTATTGTCATCAGAGTCAACAAGAGCGACCCTTTTGGACTCGCCAATACTCTGCTTCTGCAAATCATCAATAGCGAGCACAATAGGCACCGACATGTTAACAACCGACCCGTTTTCCAAACGGAGAGAGTTGAAATGAAGTGTTTGGAGGAACTCGGATTCTCTCATGAATCCGCGGAGAGGGCTTGCCCAGCCCTCGCTTAAAACATGCACCCATTGAATATCAATCTTTGTTAACTTAACTTTAGGCAATGAAATTGCCTCTTTCTTTTTAAGATCTTGTTGTGACTTTTCAACGAATAGTTGAACAAGTTTCCCACCATCTGGGTCGATCAACCCTGCTTGAATCCTGACCCGTTTCCGTTGGGTTTTGGGGGCAAATGATAGCTTGAGGGTAGGGCCAAAGTGGGTATTGAGTGGTTTTGGGAGAGAGTGAGAACTGTAAGAGGTTTTGGTGAAGAGAGTAGACATGGTAGCCATTGATGGAGAGAGGACCAAGAGTCTCTATCTGTATCTCTATTAAGTTATTATTTCTTGGAGGCTAGTTGTTTATCAATGAGGACGAGGGTGTTTTGTAAAATTAGTAATAGTAAGAAGTGACAAGGAGATGTTAGGTAAGTGGAAGGCTGATGATGCAGAATTTGGCTTGGAGTTGGAGAAAGAGAGAGGGATTGAGAGTTGAGTGGTAAAAAAACAAGGGGAGGACCTGAACACTGTTTTCGGTTTCACTTTTTATGTTTGGTTTTTATTTATTTATTTATATCTTGCTTGCAATTTTGTTATTTTAAAAATATATTTTTTATTTAAAAATATATTAAAATAATATTTTTTATTTTTTAAAAATTATTTTCAATATTAACATATAAAACAATTAGAAAATACTAAAAAAATTCATTTTTTTCAAAAATATTTTTAAAGTACAGAACAATTCTCCATGGTCGGTCTTTGGTTTGACTTCAATGATTTGTTAGTACGAGAGCCAATACTTCTGGAGTCGACAAGATAAAAAGAAAATAAGGAATCCAACCAGAAGCATGATATTTCACAATCTATCAAATCTATGCCCATCCAACTCTATCCAATACATTATGCAAAGTTAGTACTGTTGATGTGGTTAGAAAGGAAGTAGGGTTTGACTTAGATTTGCGTTGACTCGGGCTGGTTAAAAAAAAAATCTATGTGAAAAAATACTAAAAATTCTAGTAATTTAAATAATTCAAATAAAAAATATGTAACAATAACAAAAAAAAATAAAAAAATTAATAAGAATCTATCTTTTCTTGGTTTTGTATAAATAACAAAAAATTATTTTATCATCTTCTTGCATCGTGCATCATGTATGGTTAACTCTAGTAATTATAATCATGATTTTATTGTATTATTTAATTTAATTTAATATTGTTATTTTGTATGTGTATAGTGGTTGGATGTGGTTTAACCCCAAATTGCTTTTTTTTTTTCCTTCCTTTATATTTCTTCCTAATATTACGTGTTTACATGTAAAAAATCATATCAGCCCTTCAATTTATTTTTTCTTTTGATCCAGTATATATTTTCTAATTTGCAATTGTTTTAATTACATTGATTGTTTCTAATTGAATTTTATTTTTTATTTCATTCTTCATCATTTGATTTTTTTTTAATTTGTTTTCAAATTTGATCTTTGTTATTTTATTTATTATTTTTTTTGTTTTGTTAATTTATTTTTTGTTTTTTTTTTCATTCCACCCCTTAGCATTTATTTTCATTTAATTTTCATGTTAAGTTTGGTCATAATTTTTTTAATTATTATTTTTTAAATTATTTTCTTAATGGATTTGTTTCTTAAAATTACATCTCTGAACATTTAACTTCATTTAATTTTTTCCTAGACATTTAATTTTATTTAATTTTTATGTCAAATTTATTCCTAATTCTTTTAATTAATATTTTTTTTGTTTTGCATTGTTTTTATATTGATTTTCTTTTCTGATTTTATCTCTCGATATTTATCTAATTAAAAAAATTGCTTCTTATTTTTTTTTAGTTTACTTTTAATGGGGTCACCTCAGTCTCATGAATCGGTCATAGATCTAAAAGACTAACCCGAGTCGACTTCTAATTTTTTTAAAAGTATTATTTATTTATTTTTGCTCTCGCATTTATAGGGTCATCTCAATTTTATGTTCAAAGTTATATGTTTGATTTGTTGATCTGGGTTGGTTGTGAGGTTCACTTAAGGCTTTTTTTGTTATCTTTTGTTTTGCTTTGACAAGTTTTTAAATTTTTTTAAAATTAGCTTGTAATAAACTTCTTGATATGATAGGATCTAGAGTTTCATAGGTTGCGAACTTTTTAAAATTTGATCATGTTTAGGATGTTTATCCATGTTTATTTGGTTTTTACAAATATTTTTAATTTCATTTCCTGTGATTTTTTTAATCTTTAAAATTTGATCACAATTCTTTTAATTTTTATTTATTTATCTAAGATTAATTTATATTTTTTCATTAAATTGCATTATCCTTGGATTTGTTTTCTATCAAATTTTATTCTTATTTTTTTTACAAGTTTTTTATTAATATTTCTCTACCGATCTTATCCCTTAAAATTAAATTAGTCGAGAATTATACTTTTTAACTGAATCTAGGTAAAAAAAATTACAAGATATAATTTTTAAATATTAAACCTAATATCATTACACACACAAAGAGAAAAGGAGGGGAAAAAGACTTCTTTTTCAAGTCTTTTCTCTAACATTCAAGTCTAATAATTTTGTATTCCTTGCATTGTAAGGCATAATAAAACCTTTTATTTTTTAAATGTAGAATAATTATTTTTTATTTATCTATCTTATATACAAGTTATTTTCTAACAGTAGAATTATAAAAAAAAATATCATTATTAGAGGATACAGTGTTGTTAATTTGTATGAAAAGTCAAATATAACAATCTCTTTAATGTATCAATTAACACTACATTTCAATAATATAATTGTATAAAATAATAACATGGTTCGTGAAGAGTTAAATATAACAATTTCTTTAATACATCAATCAACACAGCATTACAATAATATCATTGTATAGAATAATAACATGGTTAAGGGTTTGTTTAAAATTAATTGTGAAATAAATCATAAATGATATACTTATGTGTGATTTAAGAATCTACTGTTAATAAGAAAATTATACATTAAAAAATGATGATGAGCTGTTGCTGAATTGATTTCAACGTGTCCCTTGTTTTAATGGATCTCAACTGAGAGCTAACCTGCCCTTTGTAACTCGGAAAAGACACCTCTGGTCACGGGCTCACTTGGCACCTTAAAAACTACTGGATGGATCATGCGAAAAAGAAAAGAAGTCGAGATAATTCATAGTTTTATCCCTGATTATTTATAGAAAAATAGTTTTGTTTTGGAAAATAATTTTTTTAAAAGATAAATTTTATAAAAATAAATTATTTTTTAAGATTTAGTATTACCATGAAAAATAAATTAAAAAATATTTTTCAATGTTTATTTATATTATAGAAAATAAGTTAAAAAATAGCTTATTAATATTTATTTTTCAAGTTTATTAGAATAATAAGGAACAAATCTTATAAATTAAAAGGTTAAATAAGAATGAAATTGAAAATATTTAACTTTATAGATTATCTAAATTAAAATAAAAAATAATTAAAATAATAGAGATTAAATCTAACAGATAAAACAATTAAAAGATGATGAAATTAAAATAATTATAATTATAATTTTATAAATTATTCTAAAAAAAAAATAAGGATCAAATTTGATAAATAAAAAATTTCAATTTAAAAAATGATAAGAGAAAGGTAAATAATAATCATAAAAATAAAGATCAAAATTAATATAAAAATCAAATCAAATTAAATTTTAAATAATAAATTTAAAAAAAAAAGATTCAGATAAAATATATAGTAATTGAAATTTTGATGAGTAAATATGACATGATCAATAAATATTATGATATTTTTAAAATTTTCACAACTTTTGAAAAATGTTTTCCGTCTAAAATAAAAAAAAAATACTTTTCTAAAAATTAAGCCAATTTTTTTTTATATGAAAGTGTTTTTCGTTGACAGAAAAATATTTTATATTCACCAACTTTTCTAATGGTAAACAAACACATGAAATTTTAGAAAGTGGTTTCCCAAAAATTATTTTCTAGGAAACAAACGCACCCCTATATATATATATTCAGATAACCAGTGGTTTTTTCTGAGAAAAAAAGGCTTTTGATATGCAAAAGATATTTGATTTTAATTAATATCATTAAAAATAGAGGATTTTTTTAATTTTTTTTAATGAAAACAACAAAGAATGTATAAATATCTCTTGAATTATTCCGGTAAAGAATTCACAACTTTTTATCTTTAAAGATAAAAATACTTAGATTTCATAATATCGACAAATTCAAAACTCAAAAACAAGTATCTTTGTTTTTAAAATTTAATATTTTTTTAGGTTATTTTATAACTTTTCTATAAAAATAATGGTTTTATCATTGGAGAACCTTGAATCCCCTTAGTAAAACTGTTTTACATATACTCAGAACTTCTATTATAAACATAAAGTTTTTTAGATTAAAAAATTCAAGTAAATAAAGTAATAAACATATTTATTAACCATTATATCTAAAACTAAATATCATCTTACACACAGATACTCAAAACTTTAGATTGAGATATCTATATTAATATAAAATAAAATAAAAAAATCTAACGAGTCCGGACAAGAGAATGCCCATAGCAAATCTAACGAGTCCGGACAACAGAATGCCCATAGCCCCTGGTACCGTCCAACATCCACCATTTGGTCGTCATCTCGCTTTGGACTTCTTATTCGTTTCTTGGCAATGTCTAAATTTTCAGCCAACTTACTATAATCGAAGAATTTGACCTTTTGCGGTCTTGAGCTTCTGATCCCTTTCTTTCGACCAATGTGCAGTTGTGGTGATTTTTTATTCTTTAACAAATCCCAAATTAGTTAGTGATGGAGCACAATTTTAAAAACCATTTCATCCCTTTGGAGAGGCTTAACCTTCTAGCTGTTTTTCCCAAGCCGAATCAGCTGGCACTTTTGATCATCTGTGCTTGCTAAACAATTAGAAATTATAGTTGTTTGTCCTTGAACGGCTAGAATTTAGTTCCTTGGATGTTTAAATACTGTCCCACACGTACTTCAATGTGTTTTTTTAGGTATTTTAGGAGTTGCGTGTACAAACTTTTCATGTATATTTTTTCCATATGGAGTAAGTATGATTTTCTACCATAATGGCATGATTCATTATCAACATCTTTTCCAGTGATAAATATCGCACAATATTTAAACATCTTTTCCAGTGATAAATATTACACAATATTTAGATGATTTGATTTTTCACAAAAATATTTTCGGTTATTTGTGAAATAAATTCAAGGATAAGATGTATAAATAATTCATTGTTTTAGACTTTCCATACAATTTTATTATATACCTTCAACAATCTAGAACCATTCAATAATCTTATTTTCCACCGACAACTATTTAACAACTCCTGGAACCACAAATAAACACCATGCAATTTCTAAAATTATAAACAATCACCCAACAATTCATAGAATCACAAACACCCGCTCAACATTTTCCAAGTCATATGATTTCTCCTAACTATTTT